CGGGGTGATTATCTCTTCCTGTCAGGAATGCTGAGAATTTCCTGCGTTTTCTCCCTCTTCCGGCCTTGTTAGTGGTTTGCGCCTGAACATGTGACAGAGAGCCTGGGCCCGCGCTGGCTCTGATTGACTAGAGAGCTTTCTACAGTATCACTGTTACCTAACGTTCAGCAGGAGCACTGACACAGGCGCTGCCTTAAAGGGCTGTTTTCACAGCTCTCACATCAAGGGGATATGCTGATCGAATGAAGTGTATTCAGTGGGTAAATAATGTGCACCTGCTCTGAGGAGGCTGCAGCTTTGGCCTAATATATCTCTCTCTCCAGGGAGCTTTTGTTAGATAAAACCACTTGTGTGCGCCACCCTTTACCTAGATTTTAGTGAGGCGTATCCCTTATTAACAGAAACGCACGGACGGTCAACTGTTTCTTTACAGTCTGGTTGCTTTAGTGTCGATGTTGTGTTGTTGCAGTTTGTTCAGATCACGTCTCCCGTGCTCTTAATGGCAAATGTTGCACTTTAACCTTTTGCTGTTATTCTCAGGGCTGACGATAGCGGCATTACTATGCAAGGCGAGCTTACTCCAGTCACATTCCTGAGCAAGGACGTTGAAAGCTAAAAGTTTCTGTGCGCTTCAGTTGCGTCAGTCTGTGGAGTTTGTTGATCACTGGTACGCGTGGCTCTTTGCCTCAACATGTGAACATATGCTGCATGTGTGTGCGTTTGCTTGGTCTCCAGCAGCAGTCTACTCTCAGCTATGTTGTTTGTGTCAAAGGGAGAAAGGAAAGCTCTGTTTGTGTAGGGTGGTGGTGCAGGAGGGGGTGGAGTAAGAATCAGACCCAAGTATAGGCTGTCTCGCCACAGTAACTCTCCCCACCCATTCTACGCCCTTCTCTCCACTTCCAAACTCCCTCTCCTTTCTCTCCCTCTCCTTTCTCTCTCTCTCTCTCTCTCTCGCACTCCCACCTGCTTTTTTCGGGGCGAATGTTCGGGGCAGTGGACAAGGGCGGGAAAATGTAGACGGTCTCAAAATGGAGGAAGAATGACATCAAAGTGTTTGAGGCCAACTTCAGGGAAAGTGAGGGAGGACTCAGGGTCCCTCCAAACTGGAAACTTACTATGTTAAAGGGTCCGGTCACTCAAACTACAACCATTTATTTCATTACTAAATAGGGTTTTATTTACCTCTGAGTCCCTGATATTTGACTGTTGACACCCGGTTTGTGGAGCTCAAAGCATTAAAAATGACATTTTAAAAATTAATTACGGCACTGTGACATTTCTTGCTGTTGTCATTTAGGTATGTCTTTCCAATAAGGAATCCCTTATGAAGGGTTTATTTGTCTTAACTTACTTAATTGATGGTCAATAAATCTTTCACTAACGCTTTATACGCCACTAATTAGAGCAACTTTCAGGGTAACAGCTCTGACCGAAGAGTTGTTAAGGGTCAAGTCATGAAGCCTGCTGTTATAAAGGTAGTTAATTAATAATTAATGAAGAACAGAGACCATCACATCTGTATTTAAGCATATAAGTGGTTCACCTGATGAACTATGAGTGCTTCAGAAGATTATTAACTGTTAACTGTTGATTAATCTATTGATTATCTATTGAATTAATCTTTCAGTGTATAAAACATCCAAACATTTCCCCATTTCCTAGAGCCAAATTTAATATATATAATCAACAAAGAGAAAAGCACTGTACTAAATCATTGGTACAGTGGCTCTCAAACTTTTTTACTTATGTACCCACTTTTATATATATATATTTATATTTCAGGCAAGTACGTCCTGACCAGTGTAAAACAGATATAAAGTGTTACAACACAGCGCTGCAATCAGTGTCTGATTTAAAAAAATAACTGAAATTCTTCATTTCAAATGTTTAGGATCCATCTCTAAATTCAGGGAAAACTAGTTTTTTGTCATCATACAGTAACATTAGGTGCTGTAATTGCATTGAACTGCCTCTTTTTGATAAGTTACTCTTTGATAAGAAACATGGGCTTCACTGAGGATGTTTGTCATCCTACAACTACAGTGATCAAACTCTTTAGGTTTATCAAACTCACATTACATTTTTTTATTGAACTAGTTATTTTATGAATCATGCATGACTGATATTTCTTTATATTAACATTTAGAAAAATGTCAAGTACTCCCCGCAGTAATCCAAAGTACCCCAAAGCAGTTGAGAAACAATGCATTAATAAATGATTTATTAACAATAAATACAGCCATTAGACTTATAAGCCTTAATAAAAGCTGCTTTATTGGAAAATGTGTCTATTATACAATGCTGTGAGCACCACAAATTATATTGCCACAAGATAAAGTTTAAAATATTATATATATATATATATATATATATACATATATACTGTATATAAGTCCCTGCGACTTAATGAGACTTCCTCAGCTCTGTGTGTGTGTGTGTGTGTGTGTGTGTGTGTGATTGGTGACCTTGCTCTTATGGGGTTAATGCCTTCAATGTGTGTTGTTTTCCCTCTTCTCTAATCAGATGAAAACCTATTGTGCTTCAACCATTAGCGCCTTGTCTCTATATAACAGTAAGCATTCATGTTTACTCTTTATGTAAATATAGAGTATGTATTTCTAGTTAGAGCACTTTCAGCAGTTTTCTGTACCAGCAGTGAGTGCATCAAGTCTGCGAGGGCAGAACATATCCTTCAGTCGCCACACAGATTATAGTAACACAGCGTGTTGCCTTCCTGTTCCGACTGTATAGCCGTCTTTGTTTACCGAAGTGTTGCTTCTTGGGAACATCTATCGGGGAGGAGGAAGATCCACAGCGAGCTTTGGACTACAAAGACGGAGAGAACAAAGAAGACGAACTGCCCACAGCCTGTCAGATCCAGTTGGAGCTACCCAAGGATAGTTCCAGGCGTCAATCTGAAGGCTCTCAGAACAGGAGCAGGCTGCAAACAGCCTCAGCATGCATGGCTAACTGGGCTGCCTGTGTCACATGGCTGTATGAGCACGTTAACAAGACGGCAGCAAACAGGGACACTATGTGATGGCCGCTCCGGGGCACAAAAATGATGATTCTGAAGTCAGCTTGTGGACACTTCAAAGTCCTAGACAGATTTGGGATTTCCACGCCTGAAAATTACCTTTAAAGCAATTAAACTGGCAGAATTACTTCTTTAGGAACACCTCCAGATAATTACACTGTCAGGTTTTAGCCTTTCTGCCGGAGCTGCCCAAATTTCTATTTTTATCCCCTCATCCTCACCGACAGAAAATATAAAAAATCATAATCCGCGATAGAACATTTATAGAGGCGTACAGACCATTCGAGCCCGCTTGTTTCTCCTCTGTCAGTGTGAAAGTAGGCCATGGACTTCAGAGACAGTGAAGGAGGAATGATGTAACCAGGGACCTATATGTTGTTTTCTCCCTAGAGCTCTGCAGCACTCAGCCACTGATCAGCCCTTCTTGCCAAGCATATGAGCATCTAGGTTTCATTTTTTGTCAAATAATACAAATGGCTTAAAATAGCTGTTTAAAATATACAATCTACTCTATGTGCACAGTGATATCCAGCATTTACCGGACACTAAGGGTCTTTTTAAAGTGAAAGTTATAGGATTTTCTTTCTTCTTCGCCCTCTTTTTTTTATATTTTATGCCACTTTTGCTCACATATATGATATGAATCCGTCTATCTTGCTCTCTCCTTCTTTCTTGATGTTAATTAACTGGACTACCTTCCCAGAAGGCACTCTGATGATGGCTATTTTTGTCCCTGTGCTTCCTATTGCCGATGCCTCACTGTGTTGTACAAAATGCATCTCTGCGCCTTTGTCACAATAATGTGATGATGCATGTGAGACACAGTCTGTCTGCAACTTTGAACATCACCTCTGTTTTCTTCTTCCAGAGGATGCTTTAAATGAGCATAAAGGCATTTACACTGATTGTCACTCAACAGGTGACAATGCGGTGAAATGGCACTAAGATAGCATTTGTTACTTTTCAAATTAGGTTTTTACAAAGAAAACAATAACCTTGTAAAATGTTTTACAAGCAAGATACATTTCTGTGAATTTGTATTAAACTACTTAACAGTACATAAAACAGTATACAATAAACACCGATCAGCCATAACAGTATGACCACCTGGGCACCCTGGTGGACCACATGGACCAACCTTCACTCCCCATGTGCATTAATCTCCTCGGTCGCCCATCACCCAGTCTCTGTTTCGCCACTTTTCCTTCCTTGGGCCACTTTTGATAGGTACTGACCTCTGCAGACCGGGAACACCTCACAAGAGCTGCAGTTTTGGAGATGCTTTGACCCAGTCGTCTAGTCATCACAATTTGGCCCTGTCAAAGTCGCTCAAATGCTCATGCTGCAGATTTTTCCTGCATCTAACACATCAACTTAAGGACAAAATGTTCACTTGCTGCCTAGAATATCCCACCCACTGACCAGATAATCAGTGTTATTCACTTCACCTGTCAGTGCTCATAATGTTATAGCTGATCAGTGTATACTATATGTAATATACTGTATAATAGTATAACACTCCAAAGGGATATTTTTTTTTAACTCAGTACTTTACTTTTGTTACCTTGAGTGCATTTTTCTGATATTACCCAGAGTTACACTTTCATTTCTGTCTTTTGAATATGAAGCTTCAGCCATGTTAGCTTGGATCTGTCCAATGGCCTTCCAGCAGACAAATCTGACAAATGAACACATTGTATTTTGTCGCTTTGTACAAAATCCGACATCTAAAACGGACATTTTGCCATTTTATGGTGTGTTATTAGGGATACTGTACTTTATATTGAACAGACATGATCCTACTCTCTACAATCAGCAAAGAAGAGTAACATTTCAAGATTCTCAATACAGGACTTTTATTCATATTTTTACAGTGTGATATTTTGCTATCTCAGAAAAAGATCTGAATATGCATATGCAAAGCAGCCTGTCCTCACTTTCTTTCTTTCATTATCTCTTCCAGTCTCCCAGTCCAACAGCAGCCTAAAGAAGCACCGGAGCCGGAGCATTTTCAGCCCCTTCTTCTGCTGCTTCCGCAACTACAATGACTACCACGTGGAGCCACCACCCGCCAACAACAAGACACTTTCTCTGCCGCCGCCAGAAGAGAATGGCAGTCCTCCCAAGGTGAATCCTATTTTTCTCTCACATCATACTTGGCCAGAGTTCAATTAAGATACCATTTGCATCCATATGACCAAAAGAAAACCTTTAGGGAATTAGCTAATATGAGACAGAAATCCTAGTTTGACTCGAGGAATCCAGTAACGAGTAACATTTGTTTGGTTTTGCTACAGAGAGCTTGTTAGGGTTTGCCTTTTCCTGCAGAGAGCTGAGGCCGAGGCGCTGTGCAGCCTCGCTGAGCTCCCTCCACAAATTTTTCCAGCTGCTTCAAACCCGCTGAACCCAGAGGTTGTTTACCATCCACTGCTTGAAAATACGGACTCTTCCCATCTTGCATTCTTCGATATCTGCCTACGCACACAACCGCACACACAAAATAACACACAGAGCCCGCTGAGAAGCTCAAAAGACACACACACACACACACACACACACACACACACACACACACACACACACACACACACACACACACACACACACACACACACACACACACACACACACACACACACACACACACACACACACACACACTCTCTCTTTCTGGCTTGCACAAGCTTGCACAAGTCTTACCATATACCCATGGCAACACATGTACGCACACACACATGCACACATACTGCTGCTTCTTTAATCCCCATAAAGTGGGCCTTGTGCGTGTCCGGTGTGATGGATTGCCTGGCACCCACGCCTCCCCCTCTCCTCACACACACTCTGACCAGTGTAGTGAGGATGTGTGAAGCGAACGTTCTGGCCGTGGAAAAGGCGCCAAAACCCCCAAGCTCCTCCACAAACACGGCGTTCTGCTGCCAAGGCAGGCACACTGGGCTATAAATGGAGCAAAATCATATCACATTTCCACTCCTGTTTACCTGTAAATGTCTCTCATTCAGGGGAGGAATGTGTGGCCCCTTACAGGCACTATACATGTGGTCAGTGCTGACCCGCTCCGGACCCCCGCCTCAACAAATGAGTTCCCATTAATTTAGAGTGAACCTAGCGAACCTTGCCATAAAAAGCCTTGTTATAGTGCGGGGCTGATTTTCAAGCTGGGTCCATGCCACAGTCCCTCCCAGCAGTGTACTGTTGCAGGATTTCTGGCCAGCCGTATTTGTTACTATGGCAGCTCTGTTTGTTTTTGAGCGAGTTGTTCTCACTTTTTATCACCGTGTGTACTATACATCCCTTTTCTCTGTCCCTCTCCCTCTTTTTTTACTCCTTCTGCGTTTGTTGATTAGAATATTGATGTTGTCGATTTCTTCCTCGCAAAGATTTTTCACAGTTTTTTTCTTTTGCTTTCCTGCTTCTTCTTCTTGTTCTTCTCCCACCCTGTCTCTCTATCAATCTATTTCTCTTTTTCTCTCTCTCTATCCTGTTTATTTTCTCCAGTGTGACCAGGTCCAGGTCATCCCCATCCCCAGTGTATGTATTATTATCTTTCATTTTTCTTCATCTCGCTCCATCACAGTAACCTCCTCCCTCTGCTTGCTGGGCTTCATCATTCTAGCTGCATGTGGATGTTGACACAGAGGTGATTTTTCTTTGCTCTCAGATGAAATTTTGCGCTTTTCCATTCTGATAATCATACAGTGCTGAAAAGGCATTGCTTTATGCTACTTACCCTCCACTGACAATTGGTAGAAAGAAGTACTCCAGATCCATTCATGATCATATGATTTATTTGCGGCTTTGTTCTGTTTGTCCTGTCTCCCCCGTGTTTCTCTAATCACTGGAACAGAACATAAGATTGATTTTCTTATTAGATCAAATGTATTGGGTCTTACACTAGACCATTACAGCTGCAGTTTGGATCAACGAATGTTCGACTTCTTAAAAACACTTGATTAAATTAGGTATTTCTCTGTATTGAGAAAGATTACATTGTGATTATGTACTCAGTGGTCAATGGACTACTGTTAGTCCATTACAAGTGGCTTGGTTTCAGTGATCTTTTGTCAGACATTTACCAGGGAGGAGGATTTATCGGATCCCTGCGTTTTTTTGTGCTGAAACTGCAGTTCATTTAGCTATTTTGGATTTCTATGTGGTCCTGTGGTTTACTGTAATTTAGGATATTCACACTCACAGCATTACCACATCGCAGCCAAGCTTTAAACTACACCACCCAGCAGACACCTCCCTTCAATGGCAGGAAATGCATGTGGCGATGAGGTCTGCTCTTTTATATATTCCCGGCCGGGAACGGGCGAGGACAACTTAAATAACTTGCGCTGACCTGGACAGGTTACATCTGCGTCACTCTGCAGCGCAACCAAGTATCACAGTCACAGTCACCACATCAAAAGGACCAGAGAAATCAGAAGCTCATCACAAACACATATTATGTAGTTGTAATCAGATAGAAGGTCATTTTTAGGTGTTAATTAGTATATTTGTCATCAGTTATAATCTTCTGCAGCTTTTAGCCTTTATGAGCAGATGGATTGTGCTCAGTCGTCATGAGATTGAGTAAGAAGAACTTAATAAATTAAATTAATAAAAACTGAAGTGTAAGAGCCATTATCATTACCAATTTCAATTTTCACATAATGTAGGACACTTTGATTGCTCCACATTCCTATTATTCTGCCCATATAATCCCTAAAACATATAAAACAATACTGTGTGTATATAGCTTAGTTTATTTAATTGTAAGCATGAAAAAAAACATTTTTTTTACAAACATGGCATTAAAACAGACGTATCACTTACTTTTGTCACCACTGTTTTTAAATAGTAGAACTATTGTAGTCATTTAAGCTGCTTTCTTATATTAACACAAGCTGGATTCTTCCACCGTATACGAAGCACACTAAGAACACACAGTAAGGGATTTATTATTTTAATTAATTAGAAATATGATGTCGGCCTATATTATGTAACGTGACACACTGGAATTTGTGTTGTCCCAACAGACAAACATGTTTCTCAGCATCTGTTTGTTATTTGTCTGCTTCATGGTGATCAAATAAAATGATTTCCATATCAGTAAGTATGGTGTGGTTTCAAGCTATCAGCTTGGAATAGCGCCCCCTGGCTGTGGCTTCGGGTGAAGGGCTTTTTGTTTTGTCACAGTGTGGCTCCCTAGTGAAAATGTCAAGGTCCCAGTCAGTCTTTCTTTATTTGCTCAACCTGCATGTGTAAATCACATTCATCACGGCCTGACAGAATGTCATTCAGTGTCCTTGCTCACAGGGAATCCTTCCTGTGATACATCAGCATGCAGTCCCGTGATAAGACATGATAAATACTGCCAGAAAACACAGATAGATGCAGGAAATGGCATACTGAGCAGTGTGTGTGTGTATGTGTATATGTGTAAGATTGACAGAGTCCTTGCTCCTCACCTCTATATAGATGTGTGTGTGCGCATGAATGCATGGATGTACGTGTGTGTGTGTGAGTGAGTGTGTGTGTGTGTGTGTGTGTGTGTGTGTGTGTGTGTGTGGCCCCCTATGGCCACACCATCTGCCCCGTGCCTGTCTGTAACCCCAGGCCTGCTTAGCAGAGGACACGTGTGTTTTTACTTTTTCCCCCGGACCCTGAAAGCAGCACCATCACAGAGCTCAGTCAACATGAGGTAATACAGAAATATCAGCAGGGACTCGTATAGTGAAACCAGACATACAACCAAAACAACAACAACAGGCTAGACAAGTAGTATTAATACGTAATGGCTTGTGATTTAAATTAATTAGATTAAATATGGTTAGGTTTTTGCATTATTGGTTGAATTATACAAACAATTTGAAGGTTTTTTGACATTTTATAGGCTAAATAATTAAGCAGATTATCAAGAAAACCATGATGGTTTTACTCGCTATTGACAGACATTGTTAATTTGAATCATGTATAGCAGTCAAATATTAATAGAATTATATCTTAATAACTAAAAAATAAAATACTTAGTAACTTAATAATTCCACTCAAAAATTAAATTAACAAAATTAGATATCAATGTCTGATGTGAAGCACAACCATGGAACAGAGCTGACTACATCAAACTTAAGTTTGATTATCAATATCTTATTAATATTGTGATAATGATTTCAGGCCTGGTTCTAATTTAGGTTTTAGCTAATTTTAGCTTTTAGTATGGTTGCGACTGATGATTATTTTCATTATCAATCAATCGGGTATATAAAAATCCAAACCTTGTCAGGAAATACTGAGAATTGAGAAGCTGGAACATAAAAAAAATTACTTATATGATAATTGTTTCTGATTAAGTTTGTGTTGATCAACAAATTGACTGATTAGTCAACTCTAAAGACTAGAAAAATGTGCAACGACTAACATCCAAAGTAAGTATGATACCACCTCATCAGCGTAGTGATATTGTATCTCTCAGTCAAACCTCCCCAGAAGCTCAGCGACACCCTCCTGCAGGTCTTTTACGCTGTTAAGTGTTTCTTTAGTGTCACCCAAAGTGGCCAAGTGATCATCTCCAACACTCTTACTGAGCCATCATCACACCTTCAGTGTGAGTGTGTGTGTGTTTCCCTCTAATGAACCTCTGTTGTAAAGGGTGTGTATTGTCTCTGCAGCCTCCAGCGAAGTTCCTCCTGCCCGAGGCCAGTATAGCAGACTACGGCAAGAACTGTGTGGTGATCGACCTCGATGAAACCCTCGTTCACAGCTCCTTCAAGGTATTTCACCTCCCTATAACGCACACAAACACAATGAAAGTAAACACTGCTGTTCCTTTTTCATCATTTGACTCGTGTCATGCTGTTATTCCACAGCCTAAGAGGGATAATAGGATTACACAGAAATAAATCCTGAAGATGCCATTCTTTGCGCTGAATATGGGTACGATGGTATGATGACAATTAGAATGAGTTGCCACAGAGCTCTGAAGTACACACAATCACAGGAAACTGTGTCCCTGAGCGTATTATGGCTTCTTTCTTTTTTTTGTACACCAGTTACAACAGGAGAAAGCAAAAAGGAGGTCTGTTACGATAACAAGACGTTGGCATGGCAACCAATGCATGTCCGGTAGCACCGTGCAATTGATCAGCATGTCTGTGATTTATCTTTGGCCAATCCAGTTGTTTGGCAGGAGCTACCGACAGTATCGTCTCATGTGTAGTATCTTTAAAATGTCTGATGGGAAATGCTTATTATTTTATCTTTGTTGTTTGTTTTTATCTAATATATTTTGTCAAACACTTTGTAACCTTATTTAGATAAGTGCTATACAAATAAAGTCATTATTATTATTATAAATACATTCATTTTAAAGGCATTTAATCACCAACGATTCATCCTGAAATTTCATTACATTATATTACATTGATTTGGCTTTTATCCAGAGCAACTTACAATAAGTGCATTCAACTGTATGGATACACCCATAATTGCAACACTCATCTTCATCAAAGAAGCTGAACTGTTTCAAGATTTCACGGCAATCCATCCAACAGTTCAGAGATACTGGAACAACTGTTAGCATGACTACCATTTTTGGATCCATGTTTTTATCTGGACAGAAACATATGTAAAAGAAATTGCTTGTTTTCATGCCACCTCTACTTCATTTGACAGTGTATTGTACTGTAGAGGGCAAGTGAAGGTCATAATTCTAATTCAAACCAATGATTTTATTTTTTTCGGCATTTTACATTTTATTTGACTGTGTTTATTTTACAAAATCAACTGTTGTCCCATAAGACTGAATATGTTTATCATGTTGGGTAAGCATCTTCTTGAACTGACAAATATAAGACCTATCTTGGGAGAAATCTGAGAGTGTTAATTTACACCACAAAATTGTATCTCACCATCAAAGGTTCCCTCCACTGACACACCTGGCGCACCTAGTGACCCACTTCAGCTCAGCTCTGCCTCGGCCCCAGCTGATCTTATTACGTCTGTGTGCATTGTGTGTGTACCTGTGGGCCTTTTTGTCCTCAGCGTGAGTGCAGCTCAACGCCAGAGAAGTGTGCAACAAAATAGCTCAGGGTGAAACTGAAGACTCTTTTGTGTTTGCTTTAGTTTTACTCAGCAGTGAAAGGAAACTATTTGTTGATTAAAATAACTGCAGAGGAAGAGAAAAAAAACGACATTTTCAGATGACAAATTAAATTTGCAGTGGAAAGTCAAAGGAGAGAAAAATGCGCACTGTACTGGACCCACCCATTACAGTCACATGCCAGCAGTACGAGACCACACACACACACACACACACGTACGTGCTCACCCACACACAAGGGTGTGTCCAATACTGATGCATGGAATGACTGCGGGATGAATTTCGCAGAAATCTTGGATCTGTTCTAATAGTCTGTTTTATTTTCTCCCCTAAAACAAGTCAGAAACTCACACAGGAACTCTTTTTTCTGCTTTTGATGACACTGAAGTTGCACACCGTACACTCAGTCCAACAAAATGCATTCAGTTCAGAGATCAGTATGTAGTATGAAATGGATTCAGGCAATGCAATAAATGAAAATCAGTTGGGAAAGGAAGAGATTGAAACAGAACTTGACACACAGACGTAGCACTTCAGTTCCGTTCAGAAGCCTGCAGGATTTCCTGTTTTTTTTTTTTTTTTTTAGAAGTGAGGATAGGAGGTAGTTTTGCATCAAAATATACGAGTAACCACTGGAATTAGACAATTAATGTAGAAAAACAACCACAAATGACAGGGGACCTTTCATATAGAGCACAGATGGACATGGACTAAAAAAGAAATGTTACATAACACATCACATACCGTATGCTTTATCCTGTATGTTGCGGATGAAAAGATAATTCCTCCGCCTGCTCTATGATTAGATCCAGTGTGTGTTGGATGTGTTAAAGTGGCTGAATACTGCATATAATAATGATAATAATGATAATAATAATACAATTTATTTATATAACACTTCTCAAAACCAATGTTACAAAGTACTGAAAACAGATACAAACTGAATTACAAAACAAATTGATCCATTAGTAGAAATACACAGTTTATGGCCAAAAGTATGTATTTGATCGTCTCATTACAAAATCATGGACATGAATTGGCTCCACTTTTCTGCCGAATCAACAGGGCTTTGGTACCAGGCTGACAAGACCTTAAATTAGGTCAGGCTCTGATGTGGGCAGTAAGCTCTGGTTCATCTTTGTTGGATGGGGTTGAGGTCAGGAGTCAAACAGAAAAAGTAGGCATTGTTGTGTTGAATCTGTTGCCAAAAAAGTCGGAAGCGCAATAAACTGTTTACCGTAGCACTTTGAAACATTATCATCAAGCTGTAGCGTTAGATTTACTGTGACTGAGAAGAAGGGGCACAGAAGCAAATTACCAAAAACGCACAAATACAAGGACAGAATTAGCCCTCCTCAACCCTGATCAACGATGAATCACAACAAACAACAACAAACTTATTCTTAAGCTATATTGTAAACCTCTAAAACAAACAAAATAAAGGATGAGGCATGAAAGTCAGTCAATAAAAAAAGGAGAATAACAAAAGTCAAACCTAATGATGAAATGTTGCAACACGTATGTATGTAAAAGAAAATCTGGACCATGAAGAACCCAGAAGAAGTTCCCTCCGTCACATCTGTTGAGGTTAACGCAGCTGTCAGTAGAGATCCATAAGACAAACACTCCCCGTTCTTCCTATTTACTTAATCCCTTTCTCTCACACATACACCCCCCCCCTCGCCCTCCTCCTCCATTTCTATATCTCTCGACGTCTTGGATCCCGGCCCATTACAGAGCGGTGCGACGAGCAGCTGTCGTGTGTTCAGTTGTCAGATGATGGAGTGATTCAGCACAAGAGCAATAGGCAGATACCGAGTCTGTCTGTGCATCTCTTCCTCCATCTGTGACTCTCTCTCCTCTTTCTCTTTGTGAAAGTTGGACCAAATGCTGCCTGTTTGTTCTCTCTCCTGCCTGTCACTGGTTTGGCTCATTACTGGTACTGTTTTTAGACAGTTTATTTTTATTTATTTTTTTACATTCTCTGGTGTAAACATTAACCAGAGATGAATATGTTACAAAACGGATCCATAGAAGCACTCACATCTGTTTTTTGGAAAGATCTGAAGACTTTAAATGTGCGTTGACTCACAGAGAAAACCAAACATCTCTAGTACAGTAGGTCTATTGTTCCACTGTCACCACCATAATGGTTGTATTAGACAGATTATACAGGTGACAAGTGGAAGGTCAAAGTGCTGTGTTTAGTATTCCTGCAGCAAACACTCCCTCTGTTGGAAGGTATGTGCTAACTGTAGGTTGATGCCTGAAGGCAGGTAGCGATGAATATACACTTACAGCACAATCATTAGGGATGTGGGTATGTTTATATCTGAGGACAGCTCGTTCAGAGCTCATTAAAGAAGTGGGTTTATGGAAACAGGAGTGCAACCTTTTAAAACCTGAAGTCTGCCCTAAAAACTTTACTTTAGGTAGCATACAAACATGAAGTTGTAAACAGTTACATTTACTATACATATATATCTTATTACAACTTCTTAATAGCATGTTATAAATCATTTAATACATGTTTATATACTATATATGAATGCTAAATAGGTAGATTTAAAGTAAAGTGTTGATAAAATGCAGTAACTAGGCTAAATATTAGATTTTTTTTTACTATATAAATTGTATATTGTATTAAAGTTACATACATTATGCCACAGAAATGTAAAAAAAAAAAACAACACGTAAGAAGTAGAAAATAACAAAACAAATAGTTAGTTAGTTAGCAGCTAAAGCTAGCTGTGACTGTGTTCCAGCTAGCTTTGGCTAAAGTTGATTTGCTGGCTTTTTCTTTCCTAATTGAAAAATGAGTTCAGATGGCCCCTACATCTAGTCATCGACTTTGTTCTACCACATAAATAATGCACTAGCTGAATGTAAACATAAAAAGTAATACCAGGCCTGCTAAAGGACGAGTAGCCGAAGCTTAGACGCTCTTTAGATCGACTTTATCTGACAGTGACTTGCTTTCTTTTTGGGGTAATCGTCCTAAAAAAAGGCACAAAGTTAAAAGGTTGGACTACTTATATAGCTGTTGGCATTTCGGCTAATTAGCCTTCAAACTTCAAACCCTCTTTTTGTCAACTTCACTGTTTCCATGGTTACCGCTGTCTGACTGTGCGGCAGGCTTGTAAATTAATAATAGTTTGATCACTTAGTCAGAAAAAAGTCGAGTCTTCTAAAGCATCACTTTACTGAAGAGCTGTGTTGTTGCAGATTTACCTGCATTCTTTAAATGTCAGCAAGAATTACGCTTCAATTTATAAAATCGTACCTCTAAATAATCTTCTTTTTCGTCTCTGCAACAAACTATCCAAACATGTGACAGCCGACCTCTTACAGAAAAGCTTTCTTTGTACATCTTAAAACTTACAGAAACATTTTTTTCCCTCTCTGTCTCTATGTCACCTATTTTTTCTTTCTCTCCCTCTCTCCGAAATGACACCGCCGTGCCTCCCACCTAATCCTTTCATCCTCGTCTTTTACGCCCTCCACTTGTCTTCCACCCACACCCCTCCGGCATCTATCTTCCTCTACCTCCTGCACCTCTCCCCTCCTCTTTCTTGCTTTTAAAGATGACACAAGTCACGCTGAGAAAACAGCGGCGCTCCTCCTGTCCGCGTTCACGTATGTCATCTTCTTCCGCTCCCAGGTTTCTTCTCCCCGGAGTCTCAGTGGTTTTTATTTAACGCTGAGACACAGAGCGCTGGAGCAGAGGGAACCACATTATGCTTAAAGCCTCCCTAGATTTCCCGTGGCACCTTATAGGACAATTTTACCTCTCTCTATTCTATATTTTTAAACCAAAAATATGGGCATGTGGTTTAGCAGCTCCTCAGATTGTGCTGTTTGGAGAAAAACTACCACAATTTTTAATTCCTTTATCTGTTTCTTGTCTTCCTGCAGCCCATCAGCAATGCAGACTTCATTGTTCCAGTGGAGATTGATGGGACTGTTCATCAGGTACAGTTGCACTGATACAGAGGACTTCCAGAAGTGGACTTGAATAAAATAATATGTATTCATTTATAAGATCTCCCTTCGAAGCTGTAGCTCCATTTTCTGTCCTTTAGTATTCATTATTCTTTATTATCTCACAGCTACGTCAAAGTGGGGCAGCACATACACTCCTCCCTGAATTGAATGCTTTCTGTTTTATTCTCTGTGTCTCTGCTCGCTGTAAAGACAGACGAGCCGCGATGTGCCCGTGTCACCAGGTAAACAAAAGTTACAAAGCGCGTTGAAGATAATCTTGAGCGTGCAGCAGAAGAGATGCTTCACCGATGAGAAATGTGTGCGTTTGAGAGAGAGAAAATAATGACTGCAGAAGAGGAAGAGACTGAGGTTGAAACTTGCATTGTGGCGAGACATGTGCTTCTCTTTGTATATTATACTGATGTTAAAGGTTCACTTTCTGTTCTGTTTGAAGCAGAAGCAGCTATACTGTAGCTGTAACCGGGTTCAAGTAATCCAGGATAGGCTTTCTGTATCTGAATTGGCCTATGCTTGATTACTTGCACTTGGGGGCAGCAACTATCCCAAGGAGGCCGACTGAAGAGGACAAAGACGAGCAGAAATGGCAAATGTCTGTTGTTGTTGTTGTTGTTGTTGTTGTTGTTGTTGTTGTTGTTGTTGTGTGAAGGTCTGGGTACAAAACAAATTTTTTCATCCAATAAAGGAAGCTTTAGTTCTCAAGTCTTAAATATTGTCTTAACAAATCCTTCAGGACCATTATCTAAATAGTCTAAAAATCAGGATCTGTGTACACTCCCCTGCCAGATACTTGTGTGTCTATTATTAGCTTCAAACATGGACGTATTGCACATTTTCTTATTCAGGCTAACCGATAAAAAGTTGTTACAAAATGCATTTAATTATAACTCTAAAGGTATCGCTCAATATAGAATGGTAATTTAACTAATCAGTGACAACAGACAGCAGCTATAAGCTCACAGCAGCCTCATAAGTAATAAATAACTCTCACAACAGATGTTCATTCAAAGTAACACTGTCTAAGTTCATAAGGGTCAAAATATAAAATGTAATTAGTAAAAAGATTTCATCAATAGATAACAGGTGCTGAAGTCTTTACAGCCTCTTCCCTTATTAAGTACACTGGGACACAATAAAACTTTTTTTATGCGCACACGTTGCCATAACAACACACAAGGATGAGTTAAAATCATAGACTGTATTAAATAGGTGTCTCAAGAGCTCAGAAGTGTGGTGGCTTTGGCCATCGCCATCCACGACAAACTTTACAGGTGTGTATATTTTTGTGTGTTTGTTTCAGGTGTACGTGCTGAAGAGGCCCCACGTGGACGAGTTCCTCCAGAAGATGGGGGAGCTCTTCGAATGTGTCCTCTTCACAGCGAGCTTAGCCAAGGTCCGTTCACACATTGGAGCGCACAGACAGCTGTCACAGTAATGTTGCTTTGCACAGACTATGTTAATCTGATGTGTTTTTTGGGGGGTTTGTTCAGTATGCTGACCCTGTGGCAGACCTGCTGGACCAGTGGGGGGTGTTTCGCTCCCGGCTCTTCAGGGAATCCTGTGTTTTCCACAGAGGAAACTATGTCAAAGACCTCAGCCGGCTGGGCCGAGAGCTCAGTAAAGTCATCATCATAGACAACTCACCTGCCTCCTACATCTTCCACCCTGAGAATGCAGTGAGTCAGTCCCCTGCTTGAAGTTAAAGAATAGGACATTTAGTGATTAGTTAGTGGCATCCTGATGATACTGATAATGAAGACGATATCAGAGAAGGTTGTTAGCAAATGATGAGCCCTTTTGACCCAGGTTTACTTACTTACTGGTTTAAATTCACACTGGAGTGGCAAAAATTACAGGAGTTTAACTTAATTTTGAGGTAGCCTGGAAAAGCTGAGTCGGCGTATATAAATGGGGGCTGCATTGAGATTTTACATTTATGTGTGTGTGGTTTTCTCCCACAAAATCCTGACTACAAATGGGATTAAAATAGACTGGTACAACAGAAATAAGTTAGTTATAGAGTTAATAATGATGGTAAATGATTATATCTGCGAGACATTGTCATTTTTAATCTGCACTGTTGTCTTAGAAACAGCGTTGAGCCTGAGGCAGTGTTCCCAGTTTTATGAGATTTCTCTCCTCCGTGGAGAAGTTTCTCAGCGGAGCTGCTGCCACTCTTCACCCCTTTGATGCATTTCCCACCATTAATTATTTACACGAAGCTCGCACCATCTCCTCACCTATAATGCAACACTGACAGCTGAGTTTTCTCCCCTGATCAAAGAGATTCAATCGGACTCTTCCGCCGTCTCTCTCTGTTCCTTCCCTCCACAGGTCCCGGTGCAGTCCTGGTTTGACGACATGACGGACACAGAGCTGCTGGACCTGATTCCTCTGTTCGAGGGCCTCAGTAAGGAGGAGGACGTTTACAGTCTGTTACAGAGCTTGAGGAACAGGTAGCAGACGGCGGCTCCAGCTGGTTCTTCCTGCCGCAGCCCCGCTGCACAGAGGCCTCACCTCGCTGCCACGGCCCTGCAGCTCATCTCCCGTCCTCCTTGGAGTCCCAGCGTGGCCCCTAATCTGATGACTTCAGGCTATTGTTCCGGTCATAATGAAATCTAGAGACAACAACTGTATGGATTCTTACCATCTCTGCGTTTTTGGACTCTTTGTACAGGACTCCTACTGACAAAAGATTATATTACTGTATGTACATACTATATGTTTCTAAGAGCAAGACATACATAAAGTAATTTTTCTATCAGAGAAAGGAGGTTTTACTATTCTATCAAGTAATATTTTAGTTACCAAAAATAATCGAATAGACAGAACGAAGAGTTTTTTTCTTTTTTCAAGAAGGTTGACCTTTTGTTGTTTTTTTTTGGTTGTTTTTTTTTGTGTAGAGCTGTGCTATGCAGGCTGTTGTTTCTCGTCTGACCTTTTGTTCAAACAACTGTGATTTATCTTCTCTTACAGAATGAAGTGCCTTCATTACTGTGCTGATTTTGTTGTGTCGGGTTATGGGGTGCACATTTTTATGCTGCATATTTACTCAAATCTCCAAAAGCATATTAACTAAAATCCTTCAATTCAAGTATGAACTGAGTCTTTGGTAATTGTCATTTAATCTGAGAAAACAGAAAATAATGAATTACTAGAAATGTATCCAACTAGCCTGTTAGACCTGAATGATTCTTTGTGTTTGAGTTTAGTAACATTGAATTGTTAAATTTACCAAATATTTTTACAATTCAATGTGATTTGTGGCTGAATGACGTCATTTGATCTTTGACAGTGGCTGTAAATTGATAATCCTTAAAGACATTGAAACCCCCCACGTTATTACTGAAAGAAAAAAAAGAAACCTTTGTGATGACATCACCGTCCACCAATAAATGTTAAACTTTTGAGGAAAACATAATAATTAGCTTAGATTACATGAAATTCTATTTATTGGGGAAAATGGGTTTGGGTGCATTGTAAAGACTGCTGTTGAAATCGTACTGTACAACATTATTAAAGTTGCAAGTTTGCACACTGTCAGTTTGTACCATGGTATAATGACTTTGACTAACCCACGGAGTCGCTGCAGTTGATCTCAGATGCTTTAAGTGAAAACGCTAGAATAAACTTGCTGGTGAACACAGTGGAGCATTTAGCAGCTAAAGAGCCAAGTATTTTCCCTGTGGAGTGAGTGGAGACCAAAAACAGCTAAAAAAAAACTTAGTTTCACCAGATGGCGAGAAACACGACTTCAAGCAACAGTTTGGTAACAAGTACTCAATGTTGTGTTCGCAGCGTGTTTATGCTGCCCCCTAATGGCTAGAAAATCAGATGCATGCTTAAGTGACACATAAAGAGCTATTTTTTTTTTACTTTAAATTCTCATAAGACTCAAATTTCATTGTTGACCTTCGAAACAGAAACTGACACTCACTCATGAGATCCATTTAGTAGCTGTTCTGGAGTTTTCTATCATAACACATGATCTTTCTCAGAATAGTTATTTTTTAATATATAAATTGTTTTTTATTGCCTTTATTGATAGGACAGCTGACGATTTGAAGATTAACAGGAGGGGGGGGGGGGGCATACAGAAACGGGGCTCCAGATCCACCAGGGCGCCCCAGAAATGTTGTTTTAAGCCAACATGCATGCTCAGAAAAAAGGGAAAATTTAAACATCTTTAAGGTTTTAAAGTCATTATTTCTGCTTTTGTTTATTCATCACTATTATTTAAGTTATGAGTGGGTTTGAAGGACGAAACTGAAATATAATGGCATTGCTGACCCATGTCAGTGTTCTCCTAAAATTAATCATTCACACTTCAGAAAAAAATGGAAGCAAAAGAGCATTTTCTTTTTGTAGTCTACAACTTAAAAGAATGATGTGTTTTATTATACACATTGTATTTAAGGACATTTTAATCATGGAAGGAACACAAGAGTTCTTCACTGATTTCTTTGACAAAGGCTCATGCTCTATTGTCTGCAGGGTTAAATGATCTGCAGGTGCATTAAAAATATGGATATGCACTGGTTAATGTGCAACCAAGAGGAGCTTAACTTCATGTGATATCTTGATGTGAACTTTTAGCTTCCGCTTACGTAGCAGCCACTTTAACTGCAGCAGTGGATTAGGCATTACAGAGCCTCTTGTTCAAGCCTTAAGAGCTCTTGTGTTTTTTCAAGTTTTTTTCATTTTCCACTTGTTCCTCAGATATGTGGGGACTGAAGTTCACCACGTTGTTGAAATGATCATATTTTCATAATGGAGTCCTGGATGAAATCTGAAAATGAGAAACCGTGGTCAAAGGTAAGAAAACCTTAAGCCCGTTGATTTGAAGCTGTTGGTTAACAAGAAAACCAGGTTAGTTATGTAATAATGTGTTTTCCAGATCTCCCTGACAGGGATTGTGTGAACTATATAAGACAAAGACATCTGAGGAGTGTAATAGATGTATCCCTGAACCGAAAACAGCAGGGAGCCTCATTCATGATTCATACACTGACTTCAACATGCAACAGAAGAAATATACAGATTGTTCACACAGTTTGTTGGCGGGGGAAATATTAATAGGGCCTTCCATTTTTGATCTGTCAGCTTCAAGGTTATCCTTAGCTGTACAAGCAGCTCACCCACAACTTATTTCTGTTGTATCTTTACATAACAATTCAGTGTTTGACTAAGGATCAACATCCAAAGACTCATCCTATCACTTCAAAAAGTGTGCAAATCGCTTTGGTTGCAGCGTGTTAATGCATCTCCACATTGAGCAAACAAATGTAAACACCAGCTGCCAATGTCTTCTCTGTTGGGAGATCAACGCCCAGAGCTGTAAACCTTCAATAATGTCAAGCGTTCCTTCTTCGAGTGTCTGCGCGACAAGGCACAGAATGAGAGATTTAGCCACAGAAAGCCTCTGATTCCTTTCCAATACCACTCGGAGCTCCTTGAGTCCAATTCCCCCATCTGCTAGTTGTAACAGTTGTGAAATGAATAATTGGTGTCAAGTGGCCCCTGTAATGCCCGCTGTGCTGCTAAGAGGCTCAGTCGAACATAAACACAACTCCAGCTAAAGCACAATCAGGACCTCGAGTGAGGCTTGAGTCCATCTCAATCCAGGTACTGTAGATGATTTTCTCAAGGATCTTTTAATGTGTCACCTGTCTGTCTGCCTTCATTCATCCTTAAAACAAGCCAGAAACTCCACATTAAAAACACCCTTTCTCTCTGAGGGGACCTAGAAACAATCTAAGACCAGGCGTATTTAAGGTCATTGCAGTGTAAACATCGAGACAGGAAATTGCAGGTGTGTTCAGACCTGGGTGTGGAGACAAATACACCCAGCCCTCTCAGCCACACACACTCCAGCTCGCACAGAGGAGGTAAAGCCAGCGATATTACATTGTACAAAGACAACATTTCACTAATCTACCTCCACAACTTGTAGGAGACACCCAGGCCTTCATTTCGCCAGACACAACAAAAGGTAAGATCCATATTTTTTATTTTTGTTTTCAGTGTTTTTGAACATCTCTCTAGTTTTTGTTTTCCTTTATCTGAATCACTGCAGTTTGTAAAGAACATCTTTATTTGTTTCTTTTTCTATATTTGTTAAAAAGATTCTTTAAAACAGACTTCATGTGGGGTTTTTAAACCTACATCATTTCATGTTAAATGGAGATGAACACATTAGGATCCATTTAGAGCATCAACAAAGCTCATTGTGTGTGCTGAATCAGTGGACACCGCAGGTTAATTGAAGTGGAACCAGTCTTTCCTGTCACAGTAATGGAAGCAACGCTGGTTATTCAGAAATTTGTTTGTTTGAATTTGTCATTTATTTTGTGCGAGATCAGGTTGCAGAGCACAATGGTTGTTTTTCCACTCACAAAAGGGAGTTGAAGTAGAAGCCTTCTGTAACAGGCAGTGAGAAACGCCATTTAGTCAAGTGATCAAGTCAAATAAATACAATAAATCGATTAAAGAAAAGTTCAGGAGAGGAGAGAGATACTCATTCTCTTCTCCACCCAGAATTTTCAAAGCTTATGTAGGTAATTGATAATAAACTCCTTTAAACGGTTTTATTATCACAAATAAATCAGATTGTTTTGATTAAATGTTTTGATTTACAGATAGTTATTGACATAATGATACACTATCAAATATTACACGCATACTGAGCGTTATTTTAGTTACAGTTTGATATGTGGAGTCTCCATAGGTGTGGCCTCTCCTTGGCCCAGATGACAAATCAAAGTGGTCAATAAAAGTTTGTGAATTGGCAATATATGTGTATATGTTTTTTTTTTTTTAAAGTAACAATTAGCATCATAATTTGGAAAATGTAACGTCTCCCAAGTTTGTTTTTGGGTACAGTATTACAATAAGCATTACCATTATGTTGTACCAGAGTTAGCGTAAAGCTACTTTTCACCAGCAGTTGGCAGGTCACAATTGAATCATACAGAAAAGGATACATAATACAAAATTATATATAATACATAATTATAACAATATCAAGGATATTTTTATATAATGTAAAGAGCCAATGATTTCAGAGTTGGGCAGCTTGTAGCAGACGTCTCAGTTCGACTTTCAAGTAACTTTTCCTCTTAGAAATTAAAATTCAAAGGCAACAAAACAGCCACTTTCTCAGTTCAATACATTTAGGAGTTAAGCTGCTGCCACCACACTTGGTCTAGTATTAATGTTGTTAGAAAACTTAAGATACATATGGCTGTAAATGTAAGTGGACTGATTTTATGAATTACTCTTTACTTACTTACTTACACAATGTTTAAGAATTCACTATTATGCCATAAGTGTTCATTTTTCACAGCTGCTGTTAATTTAAAGTCAAATAATCTTGTTTTAAAGATCCCGATAGAACTACAGCTCTTTGCGTATTATATTACACATTAATATATAGTGAAATTATTCCAGTATGACTCAGTATTTCTTCCCCTCTCAGTCCTCCTCAGACTTAATCACCAAAAGCCACATGACGTAGGACTTTGCAACTTTAGCCAAGCCCTATCAATTAATTTAAATCTCAACCCTTTTTATTCTGTTTGCTTTGTATGTGTCACCTCTTTATCTGATCACCTGAATACCAGAACCTTGATACTATCAATAAAGGGTGTGGTTAACATCCTGGTATAGTGCAAGTGACTTGATCTAGCTCGCCTCACCTTACACCACCCTTTCCATCAATCACTGCCCGGAGAGACATTTTATTCCTACACCCGGAGCAAAGCTTACTGTGAAATATAGCAGGGCTATTTCCCTGGAGAATAATGGCAACCACAGCTCCTCCAGCTATTTGACAATCATATCATATATGCATGGATCCTATATTTGCATTCATGATGGCAGCATAACATCCCACCAAGCCTGTTTCCATACATCATGTCATCACTAAGCCTATATTCTTGGCACAGCTGGTGATACAGTGTGTTTGCTTATCAGTGCTGTTGTTTCTGATATCTGAGTCAAGAGGCAGTTTAAGCGTCACTGATTGCAGAACTTGTATGTTGCTATGGCGCCAAGCTGACACTCATTAGGGGGATTAGAGGTGTTTCGCTGTCAGAGATCCAATCTTTTGAAATGGTTCACTTGTCGTGTTAGAGACATCTGGTTCCAGTGAAAAGATGAACAGGGAACTTGTGAGGCTGAGCGATGATGAGGAGGAGGCTTCAAATTTCAAATTTGTTTGTATGTTCAAGTACTTTGGAGTTACAATTGAATATGTGTTTTCTAATGTGCTATTTATGTTCTGACATTCAAATCTTCTGCAGCTTCCCCTCAGCTCATTTTAGTGTTTTCCAGCTCTTTGTTTTGGTTTTATTACAGGAGGTGGTTTATTTTGTTTGTTTTTTAGCAAAAATGTTAAAACTAACTATACAGTACCTGCCCAAAAACGGATCTAAAAGATGGAAAAGATTGGACTTACATTCATTAGGCGGCCAGAAACATGACTCCAAATGATGCTTGTCATTGTAGGAATAAGCAATAAAGGTGTTATTGTTATGTATTAT